TACATAAGGCAATTTTGTTGAGAATATAATAAACCTGGTGAATACGGCAAACATAAAAGACATTGTCGTTTGAATATATTTGCAATAAAGTTTACATAAGGGAATTAATACGAGCATGACCGATATCACGTTGCATGTAATATTTGTGGATAAAATATTTTCAATTGTTTAACAACCATTAACACGTACCTGAAGTTATAACCTGTTACAAATAAGTATTTACGTACTCTGTCATGGCAAATTATCTTCGATATTTTAGATCGTAATATTCGAATAACCGAATGGATTAATCGAACGATAGTGGCTTTTATTAATCGACAGACAGTTTATTTCGCTCTCTCTAGTTTTTTTTTTTCTTTTTTTGTAACTTTGTCAAACCTTAATGAACAAACGAATTCAACTCCATTATGTTCTAGATTTACGATTTTATCGGTTAGAACGAAAAAAAAAAAAAAGAAAAAAAAGGAAAAAAAATTAAAGAAAAGACAATCATGATTAATAATACGATTCGTTAATATTACAATGATATAATAACGTTAGAAGATATATACATTATACCGATAAAATGATCAGATTTATTAGCATGAAATTTAACGAAGAAAGGTGTCGGTCGTATTGTCCGTTGAGTCACTTCTCGTTTGTAAATCAACGAAGCGTTTTAAACTGGGTAGGAACATCGCGCGTGCAACTGAATTCTCGCTATTAATTTGTCGTTGGGCGCAAATGAAATGCGCATTGCGCTCGACGGAGCGTAATTCACGAGGCAGAATTAATGTATCGTCGGGAAGGCTTCAGGAACCTTTCTCTGCTTAATTGCATTACGGCGGTTCGACGCCGGCTGATTTAATACTTTACATTTAATTTCAGAAGGGCGGCGAGGCATATTGGATACGAGAAAAGAGTCTTCATTTGCATAGCCACGTAAAGTATTGTTAGTCGATCGAGGAAGAACACGTTCCTTTTGTAAATCGATTGTTATTCCTCAAAGTTAACTAAAGTCTTCTATCTTTTCGATCGAAGATCTTTATAATCGGTATTCTTTTCTCTCTAGAGAGAAAGAGAGAGAGAGAGAGAGAGAGAGAGAGAAAGAGATAGAGAGAGAGAGAGAGAGAGAGAGAGAGAGAGAGAAAGAGAAAGTGACGCTATTAGATGAATTTTTATTTTAAACAAAATTTAACACAGTCAAGAAATTATTTCTAATAACAAATGGATTATTAAGATTGAAAACAATGAGTATAAAAAATTGGAGCAAAAAAATGATTATGAGAAGTCCTGTGGTCTTGTTAATAACACCGAAACACATTGATTAGTCTCTCTTTCTTTCTCTCCCTCTCTCTCTTTCTATCATACTTCATTCACCTTTTTGAGTTTCATCTTTTTTTACTTTTGCGCAAAATCAATACACTTCTCGACAAAGAGCGCGAACGGGTGAGCATGCTCGTATCATTCTTTTTTCGTATAGCAAGCTCGTCCGCGTGTACTATGTTTCCTTTCGTTCTATTTTTTTTTTTTTTTTTTTTTTTTTTAAAGAGCGCTTGATAAATGGGAACTCGATAACACGGAATCCAGAGTCTCTCTCTCTCTCTCTCTCTCTCTCTCTCTTTCTCTCTCTCTCTCAAACTCTCTATTTTTTTCTCTTCTTTTTTCCTTTTTTTTTTTAGAGCAGATTCGCCTGGAAGCCCGAGGCTCTATAGTCCTCTCTTTTCCTCTCTACTTCGACATTCCTTCCTTTGTTACGTCGGACTATTACTCATAACGGGCGCAATCGGTATTTACGAAGACTATGTCGAGAGATTCTACGCGATACCAAAGTCATAACAGTTAAAAGCTCTTGATCGTCCGTGCGAACATCCTGATGAAAAGATTAAAACATAATCTTTCGATTCTGTTCCCTTGGAATCGTTCCTCCCGTTGAATCGTTCGATTATTTATTAAATCGAGGATTACCATTTCGATAACTTTATATCACATTTTTATATTTATAGAATGTATTATTGTTGTTGTTGTTGTTGTTGTTGTTGTTGTTATTGCATTTTAACCGTTAACAGTTTCTACTTTCATCTAAATTTATTAACGTGTGTATATATATATATATTTTTTTTTATATAACAAATTGTTAAGTAATCTTTACGAGTAGGTGGAGAATCTGTTTTTAAGATCCGCATTTGTAAATGGATTGTTTATAACAACTTTGTTTTCTTGTAAAAAATTGCAAGCTGGTTATTAACGATGGTTAATAATTTAAATAATAAAAAATAAAAAAAATTCCTTTTTAATATGGTCTTCGTTCGAAGTCTCTATGAAGTTCTGGATATATTCTCACGAAAAGAAAATATATTCGTATGACCCATTGACCCATATAATATCTTTAAAAAGGAGCATTGAAATAGTGGCCTACATAAATTTCAATTTTATTGAAAAATTTTATTCTACGTTAACGATATAAACAATTTCTTTTTCCATTTGCTACGATCAGTATATCAGTTCTTTCTTAGATTACGAATGACAAATCTTAGAACGTTATATATTCGAAACGAAAAGTCGTGAAATAAATGAAGATAAAAAAAAATGTCCTCTATCTATTTCCATGTAATTAAATATTATCGATATAACGAGTTCGATTTTGTTGATATTTCTCACGAAGAATTTACGGAATTGATTTACTTTGACTCCAATATACTCCAATCATTAAAAAAATGTATCTTTTTATATTATTACATAATGTTTCTTAAATAACAATGCAATTATTATAATGTAATTTCCTCGAAGATATCGTAAATCGAGATCTCTTGAAAATTTGACGTTCTATTCATTTAGTTTAGTTCATTATTATTATCAAACGTGAATTAATTAATGTGTTCTCGTAATATGATGTTTCGACCTTACCTATGTACATATATACATACGTACATACATAAATACATATATATATATATATATGTATATATGCATGCATATATATATATATATATGTATGTATGTATGTATGTATGTATGGATATAGAATGTAGTTTATGCGAATTTATTTTTCTCCGTTCCAACTTCTTGTTTCGCACCGGTAGCAGTGTTATACGAGATCTTTTTCCCTTTTCGAATCTATATGCATCCCCATGGAAAAGGTTTCCAGGACCATATTGTATTTTCAATAACTCACCTTTTTCTACTCGCCGTAGAAACGGCGACCAATGCTTCTGGCTCGGGCAGAACTAGCAACGCCGGCGCCATCCAATTTATTCGCTTACAAAGGAATTTCAGATCTCGTTTTCGATTACCATGTCAACGACACGAGCGATTTTGCGTACTGGTAACATCGCTACGAATCGAGGAGATATAACTCGCTTCTACTTTCAAATCCCAACGGATATACCACCTTCAATTTGCTTTTATATCAATGATATTATGGTACTGTCGTAATAACACCGAAGAAAATATCATAATATCATTATTTCATCTTTCACATTTTTTTTTTTTTCATTTCCCGATTGATTCATAGACGGTTAAAAAAAAAAAAAGAAAAAAAAAAGAAAGAAAACAAAAGAGAGAATTATTTAGCATTAGAAAGAAATTAAGCATTTAGATACTTTATAGATCCAAGTTGATTCGATTCTTTTTTTTTTCTTTTCTTCTTTTTTCTTTTTCTTTTATAATCTCGAAAAGTTCAGAACATGTTATACGGGAATAACCATGCGAGAGATAAAAGAGTATGCACATAAGCACGCGTATAATGTAACTTTATACATAAAACTTGCAAAGAAAACATAGATTTCATGAACCCTCGATCGAAGAAGGTGTTGGCCGTATTCCAATTTTTCATAGCTATAACTCCAAAAAGAGTTATATATTAAAGTTGATGTTTAAGAAATATTTGTAGTCACTTCTTTGTAGACTCGATTTATCGGATGGTAACTGTTCCAAAGATAAGAAAAGACGCATTTGAATTTAAATCGAAGTTTAATCGACTGATATCCAATTATTACCATGAAAAATTTATTCGAATTATCTGATCTGATTATTTTAATGATTATAATTAAAAGTACTAACAATAAGATAAGATAAAGGGATGTTCTTGAAATTACAATAGATAGAAGCGATTCGAAAGACTACAAAAAGGAATCGATGGAAAATGTGTGTGTGTGTGTGTGTGTATAGGTATATACAGATAAATCGTTTTCAACGTGAATCGAAAGATCGACGAAATTCATACGCGATGTTGAGGAAATAATCGCACAAAGCTTTTTACGCTTTACATGTTATGGTTAAAGAACCGTTATTGAAATTCCCCATAACATCTCTACGATCGAAGAGAAAAGCGATTTTCTTTTATTAAACTCTTTCTATACCGTAAGAATATTAAAATAAATTCCATCTGGATTTCACTGGATTTTCATCGTATTTATGAAAAATTGTTTTCTATTACGGAAATAATTACGGAAAAAAAAAAAAAAAAAAAAAAAAAAAAAAAAAAAAAAAAAAAAAAAAAAAAAAAAAAAAAACAGACGAACAAGAAATATGACGAGAATAAATTACAATCTATGTTTTGCTTTTTCCATTATTTGCTTCCTTTCTTTCATTCATTCTTCAACTGACAAATTGACATGAGAAAATTGACATTGGTAATGCGTTGAAAAAAATAAAAAATAAAAATAAATCGACAAAAACGAAACACTGAAGTATTTACAAACGAATGATTTAACGAACGCATATTGAAACGACTGATTTTAAATTGAAATAAATAAATATATTATAGATACGAATGTCACTAATCAATTTCAACATAAATCATTTTCCTTATATCGAATTTAGTTTCTGAGATATTCGTGTATTAAACTTTTCACGATAATAAGAACATAAGGAACTCCCACTGGTCGTGCATAATAAATGACCCGAAACCATCGCCATAATATATCGCGAAAGCCATTTAGAACTTTCATATATTAGCGATGGGATTCGATCAAGTTTACGTAAGGTTCAAATTAAACACGATGAAAGGTATAATATACCTGGAGATTAGGTGGGCAGTGATCCAGAAGTTCCAACATGTGCCTGATGTTCTGTGCGTCCTGTATCACGAAGTTCAACTCCATGTCGAATTCTCCGCCCACGAGCTGTAAACAGAAAAAAAAAAATTAATAAATCGCACATAATTATTTATATATAAATAATAGAAAAAAAAAATATATATATATATTCGATAGAAATCAATAGTGTATAATTAATATGTTCTCTATATTCTCCAAAAAAATTTTTGTATAAGTTAAAAACATGAAAAAATGGGAAATATTTTTCGAAAGAAACTCTCTGACGAAACTATCGATTTATATATATATGCGATTGGATATCTCGGAGAAGCAGCATTTTCAGGCTTCAATTCGGATCCATCCTTGCATGCATATCGTATAGTAGATTTCCAGTCGAATTCGGAGATCGTGCACTATATATTTCCTGGCTTACTTGTACGTAAACTGATTTATAAAAGAATTTTTTGGCATAACTGAGCCGCGAAAGTCACTCGGAATTTATAAAACGTTCTATATAAATTTGGATATGATAAAAAGATCATGTAAAGCTCTTAAAGTAAAATTCTACTAATTTCGATTCTAATAAAATTTATTTCGAGAGTACTTCATTAAGTCAAAAAAAAAAAAGAATAAAAAAAAAGAAAAAAAAATATATATATATATATATAATGTATTTCTTGCGAAAACGTCTAATAACAAAAGAACGTGTATATATATATATATATATATATATATATATATATATATATATATACATATGTATATATATAAAAGAACAAAAGAAAAAAATTTCATAAACTTATCGGTCGATTTCATTAGAAAACATTAACAAATTCGTGAAAGTTTCTCTTGGCATCATTAATAAATTAAATATTTATACTGATTGTAAATTCTTTATGACTAGACATCAAAGAGACGGACATAGGATAAAACACATCCTCACGTTACACTTTATGAGGATGAGAGGCGACGAGTTTTACATTTATTGGTCGCTGATAAAAAGAGAAAGAAAATGGAAAGAGAGAGAGAGAGAGAGAGAGAGAGAGAGAGAGAGAGAGAGAGAGAGAGAATGTATGCGTAGAGTATAAAACGCTACGCATAAATAAAGACAAATACGAAAGCGATCGCTGCCATTTTCAATGGAGTTCAATGTTGAATGGAAAAACATATCCATATTAAAAACGCAATTTCGTGTATCGATAAATGAAAAAATTCTTAAAGAAAGAAAACATAAAAGGAAAGAAGGGGATCCGGTCTTTTTTTTACTTTTTATTATTGTTGTTATTATTATTATTATTATTATTATTATTATTATTATTATTATTATTATTATAATTATAATTTTTTTTTGTAGTTTCAAAGGATATTTAAAAAAACAAGATATTTCCGCATTGGAGTAATAACGCTAAACTCGAATGCGACTCCTTGTTCCGTCTATATTTTCCTTCACGGTCAACAAACTTGGAATGTTAGAGACAACTTATATATCCGTTGCGCCACTGTTTCTTCCAATAAATTTCATTTAATGTTTCTTCGAACGATATTTCTCTTTATCTCTCTATCTCTATTTCTCTCTCTCTCTCTCTGTTTCTTTCTTCTTTTCTTTGTAAGTTCAATGCAGATACAATAAAATATTACAACAGATTTAACATAAACAAAATTAGTTTTATTTATAAGTTCGAAAATATCTTTGCATTATCGACGCGATTAATTGTTAAATTCAATTTAAGAATATTTATTATCATATCGAATATGAGACATCTGAGTTCAAACTATTTAAAGTTCGTCATTATTAAATACAATAAAATTGAGTCAGTCGAATTTGTATGACTTTTTTTGTTCGAAATGGCTTATATGCTATATTGTCAAACCGGAAATACTCGACAGGGAGACCGTAATTTCCGGGAAAGTATCTCATGCCTTTATTCCACGATGAACCTTCTGCCGAATGTTCTATCTCATTCTCCCATTCTCTTTCATCGAAGTTTGCTTCCCTTTTCCCTTTGTTAACACGCACACACACACACACACACTCACATGTACACACCCACATACAAACATGCTTCTATGTCGGTTGCTGCTAACTTCGATAACTTTTACGATCGGCGACGAATGGTAACGACGTCATCTCTTCTCGAAACGAATCCTCGTAACGATAATTTCGAGTAGTGCGATAGGGTACAGTAAAACAACTGGCACTGCTTTTTTTTTTATTTTTTATCCCCTTCACGTCACTGCTCTACTTTCATCTTTATTATGGAGATTGATAAACGTTCTATTTATCTCGGATTTTAAATGTAATATCTTAATTGTAAAAGTAATAATAATTTCGAATATTTAAAGTAGAACAATAAAATGGAAAGTAAATTTTTAAATGATTAAAATTTTATCCTTACGGTAGAAAGTTATTTGACGATATATTAATAATATCTGATAAAATGAAAGTAATATTGAGGAAATGCTACGCGTGAAATTAAAATCGATTTTTTTTCTTTTTTTTTTTTCATTCGATTTATTCAGATTTATCGCAACATTTACATTGTTTATTCTTTTTAAATTAAAGAAAAAATATCGATTGGTTCTCATGAGTGTATGATGTAGTAAGACGATGTGAAAATTCGACGGATGCTCGAGGTATAACAAAAATTCGTGAAAACTGAAACCCACACAGAAGAAATTGGGTTGTAAGGATTTGAAGGACAAATCCACTGGTAGGGTGATGCGTGTTTTGAAAATCCATGTTGTCACGTAGGTACACTTTGTGAAAATCTTTCATCCCCTTGGGTAAAATAAGTCTCGTCTCACGAGTAAAAGGGTCGACGGCTATCGACTATAAGGGTGGTACAAAGTATGACGCCTTCGTGATTAGGTGAGAAAATAAAGGGTGTTGTCGGTGGTACTTGAAATGAAAGGAGTCTCGGCCAGCTATGAAGAAAATTAATTAACGTACTGCAATTTCTTTTTCCTTTGTCGAGATTGCGATAAAGAAAGAATCGCAAAAGTCATTTATAAATTTATTTATTAATTATCAGTGTACTTATAAAATTATATATATATATATATATATATATATATATATATATATATATGTATGTATAAAAGTTTATGAAAAAAATTATTTCTCATTACTTGTCTTGTTATCTTTTTCTTTTTTCTTTGGAAAAAAAAAAACAAAAAATATTTCTCTCTTAACGCAAAATATATACATAGATATTCTTTTTCTTATTTTATTATTACAAAAATTCTAATTTCGTATTCGTGTCTCCGTGTTTTCATCGTGAAATAATATAACGCTTCAAATAGAAAATAAAGACAAATCAAACAAAGTGTGAGAGCTTCTTATAGAATTTCACTCGCGCATGATGCACACACAAACACACACACACACACACACGAAGATAGAAATACGCAACAGTTGTGAAGCGTATATACTTACACAAACTTTCTATGGAATAGGCAAGTTCACAAAATCTCAAGTATCAGTTAATGTTGTCCGTTTACTCTAAAGCGTTTATCTTTGCATTGTTTACATTGTAACAAAAACGGATTTCACTCAGAGTGAGACTCATGATTAAAGAAGATTTATAGTTTTAAATAACGTTTAATAGAATTAATCGTTCCCGTTAAATTCTATTAATAGATTTTGATTATTAAAAATACGACTAGATTTTACAACAGATTTATTATAGCACTTAATAAAAAAATTATTCGATAAATGATAACAGAAATGTGAAAAAAATGCATAAACATTTAGTTATTGCGCTATTAAAAGCTACAATCGTATTCAATTTCTTTTTCCTTCTATAGTAAAAAAAAAAAAAAAAGAACGCTCGATTTAATTTATTGACTTTTGAGAGTTCAATAAATTACGATAAACTTCGAAAAGTAATAAGTTACTTTCCATTCAGTATTTTACAAAGAGAGTCCTTCATCGAGACTTGAAGTATGTAACTATGGTCAAAAAAGAAAAAAAAAAAAAAAAAAAAAAAGAAAAAAAAGGGAAAAAGAAAGAAAAAAAAGAAACAAAGAAAAATAATAATATATGCAGATGCATAATCTTAACGATAAAGCGATAAGATCTCGTCACCTTATCGAAGTTTAAAGAGCTGAGGGCGTAGTCGAAGTTTATCGGAAAATCGATATGCCTCTTGTTCGAAGGAGTTCCCGGTGGTATTTGAAAACCGATAGAAACTCCGTTCGCGCTGTTCACGCGGAAAGTCTCGATCGAGTTACTTCAAAGGCGTTTCGCAGCTTGTTTGCGCGGTTTGAAAGCTTTTCAATTGCCTCTCGAGAATGTATAACACCTGAACGCGTCAAACGCAAATCTCAGCACTTTATACGTTATGCCATAGGATTCGTGGCTATAACCGAAGAAAATTGTCTGTAACGCTTTCTTTTGTCTCAAGTATTATCTTCAATCGATCTTTCTGTGGATTGCGATATGATTCCACTCGAAACACGAAGGAACAACGACTTTCTTAAATCGCAAAGTGAAACTCTATAACAATCGATAGTTTTTCACGAAATTGAACGTATCTTTTTTTTCTTCTTCGTGCGAAATGAGTATTTCTTATAAGAGAAAAGAAAAAATAGATAAAAATGGCGAATCTGAAATGGCGAAAAATATAATAAATTCTTTCGATGAGAACGAAAGAACAATAATGTTCTAAGAAAACATTGTCTTTCGCAACACTCGAAACAAACATAAACATGATATTTGTATCATAGCAAATGCAATGATACAAATATCACGTATATACAGACGTACATATATATATGTATATATACATATACGTATGTAACATCAGACTACTACAAAGCAATCACTAACCTTTGATCTATGGGCTTCAAATAGCTTTGGAGTTACACCAATGTATATCGTTGATTTTCGCATATATAGAACGAATTATGATCGTATTTGTCTTGCAGTGGACTATCATCATTGTATTCAAACATGAGTTTGAAGTAAATTAATAGTGATACACATAATTAAGGAAAGGAAAATAACAACGAATACGATTATTTCCTTATGTCAATCTTCTTCTTCTTCGACTCTTCTTTTATTGAAATAATGCCGTAATAGTGTT